AATTAACTGTTCTTTCATACAACTAAACAGAAGTATCAAATACTAAGTAAATACAACCCACTAAAAATGAATATACAGTTAACAGACACAGAAAAACAACTACACAATTAGACGCACAATACAATTAACACAAACATGCACAAACACACACTTTAAACGCACATACACGAACACAAAAACATACACGTGCAGATGGGTGGGTGTGTGCATGCGTGCACATACATGGACGCGCACACAAAAACACACCGACACAAAAGAACCAATTGGTTTAACAATATCACCAACAAGAAACTGTTCTTTCACACAACTAAACACAAGTATCAAACATTAAGTAAAGTTGAAACACAAAGTAAAGTTAAATAATACAACCGACTAATAATAAAAAATGCAGTGAACACGAACATATACACAACCACAAATATACAGACGCATCACACACACACATACCTGTACAAATATACCTACACACACAAAATTCGAAACATAACCTAAATTAAATAGTCAACAATAAAGCAGAGACTAACTAAAAAGTTTAGGAAAGAATAAAAAAAGAAATAATAAAAGAAATGGAGGAAGAGGAAGAGAAATCTGCAATCAGTCAACACGAAAGCGAAAGTAAATAAACACACTCTCACCAATAAAAGTACAGGAGAATCGAGAAATTACAGCGGATTAACTTTGTTCAAACGAGTGGCTATACCGATATAGCCACAAAACTCCAAACTAAACATGAGTTAAGTGAAAAAAAAACTTTTTTTTATATTATGTCATATATATATATATATATATATATATATATATATATATATATAGCAATCTTCTATTGTTGCAGGGGTTCAGTACAATGTTTTACCAAAATTTATTAAATTAATTGTAATTAATATGCATTTGGTTTTTGTAATAAATGTGTATGTGATTTTTGCCTGTGTATTCACTATCGTTATTACTTGCTTTTGGGAGAAATAGTCTGATTTGGTGGTCTATAAGGTGGTTAGGGTAGCCGTTGTTGATTAGTGTTTGTTTAACATTATTAAGTTCTTTGAGGAAGAGTAGTTGAGAGAATGAATTCTGGTGTGCTCTATTTAGAAAGTTTTTTTTTTATTACTGCTATTTGTACCTAAGTGGACATTCGCTTTTGAAGTTAAGGTGACACGAGTTTTTGCTGGTGGGTTTTTTGTATAATGATGTAATGAAAGTGTTATTGCTGTATTCAACGAGGACATCTAAGAATGGAAGTTTGTTTTTTTGGCTAAGTTCATAAGTAAAGTTAAGGACGGAGTTTTTCTCAAATGTGGTCTTAAGTGTATTTATTTCTTTAATGTTATTAGATAAAATAAAAATGCCATCTGCGTAACGAACGTATATTTTCGGTTTACGGACCTGTGTAAATATCGTATTTTCTACGTGGGACATGTAATAGTTGAAAAGAACTATTAATTACAAACAAGACGAACCTTCACTAAGGCATATTATAAAGAAATATACTACTCCAACTGACCCGAATAAAAAAAATCAAACTAATTATCTATTATAAAAAATTTAAGACAGCGAACCTTATCCTCAAAAATAACAACACACCAACTAAGTCAAAATTACAAAGAACGAACATTATCTACTGTTCAAATACCCCTTAAGGAACTGTGTTCCTGATCAAACCGGACTCATAAATAATTACATCGGTTACACAACTACATGCTTATCCAGACGTCTTACGTTACACCTATCTGATCACAGCACCATTAGAACCTATTTAAACACACACAACAATTTAACAGACTCCATTAGAAACATACTAGTAGAAAACACAAATATATTAACTGCATCCACCTGTAAAAAAGATTAAAAATAATGGAAGCTTTAATAATAAAAACAAAAAGCCAACTCTTAACAATATTAACTACGAACAAAGCCACAATGTGCTAATCGTATTCGGAAATTAAAAACATCCCTACCACACACTAAGCTGAAAAATCGAATCATCCTTGATAATGGCTAAAGGTATAGCCGAAAGCGCTCGGAAATATAAAACATTTGGACAGTTCTTACACACCCTTTGTCCAGAAAAGAAAGCTCTTGTTCGAACACAAGAAAAATTAAATAAAAAGCTTAACCGTAGTACCTTGTTTGTCGTTTTTAATGAGACATGCATAAACGAAGGATTACTGCCTAAATATACAACTATATATATATATATATATATATATATATATATATATAGGGTGTGATAGGTAAATGTCGCCATTTTATATTTTTAATTTCGTTCATGCGTGTTGTTTTTTTTTTATTTTGTTTACTGCACACTATATTAAGGTTCAGTTTTGGCACTGTCTTTTAGAAGGACATTATGACATAATTCAATCCGCCAGAAATTTTGGGAACGGCAAGCTGTACTGCTTGGCATTCTCACCGAAATCTCCAATACAAACATTTCAGAGTTTTTTGGTGCCAATCTTAGGACAGTTCAGAGAATTCGGAAAGAGTTGGATGAGTGTAATGTTGATTACGATGGAACAGCAGCTTGGAAAATTCACTCTGGTCATTCTGATAAGAAAAGGACTCCAAGCAGTAGAACTCAGTCATGGCTGTCAAACAATTTCTGCGACCACATCACCCTTTACATCTGAATACCTAACTACCCACCCTTGGTTATTATGTGTGCGGCGCAGTTGAGCGAGAGACCAACAAAACTTCTTGTGATACCAAAGATGAACTGAAGGCAAGAATTATGGCAGCATTCACCAACTTAAACAAGTAGAATGTCCAGAAGTGTTGCAGGTGATTCCGAAGTCGTGTGGCGTCTATGGTTGAAGCCAATGGCGATTTTATTGAATAAATCCACTCTTTAGTATTTCAAGATATTTTTGTGTAATTTTGGTAAATACTGTATATCTATTAAAATGAGATCAGTGTTATTTTCATTTTTGCGTAATTTAGACGACACTTTATCCATCACACCCTGTACGCATATTTGGCAACTAGCTCATCATAGTTACTCTAGATAAGAACAATTTTTTCAACAAAATTTAGTATACATATAATTTAGGATACCATATTCAGTAGAATAATTTCAGCATGTAATTAGGCTCTAACTACAATTGAAGAAATGTGTCTATGCTTATATGTACCGAGATTACTCATGAAAGAGCAATTCTATAAAGACAAACGTGATTTTTTCCCATTATTTGTAGAAGTTTTCAAAATAAAGCGACCACACTAAGGCTTGCAGATTTGACAACTAATCTGACCCATTTTTTAACCTATTGCTTTACATTTAACTTATACGGAACACAATTTATGCAATGATTTAATATTTATCTTCAATATGCTGGCTATCTTCCATGACCTACTGCTTATTTAGATTTATTTAAGAAACAAAATACGGTTACAAATTTGAATATATCAAGAGAGAGTTTTAGTCTGTTTACTTTGAAATCAATAAATACTGAACAATCTCTTCACAGATGGAGTAGAGAGATTTGAAGCAATAGAGATATGTTTCACAGAATACCATAGACGGAAAAGTGTGACAAAATAAATAAATAATAGTTAACATCAGAAAGAGAAAACTGAATATTATGAGATGCGTAATGAGGAAACAGGTTTGGAGAATTTGACACTCGCAGGGCATAATGAAGACAAGAGTGGTAGAGGGAAACTACATGTAAACCTACCTAACGAGCTTGTGTAATGGCAGAACAGAGACTGAGAGGGATAGTAAGGGAACAAACATTGATTAGAGCTACAAAGGATAGGAAATTGTGGTGAGCCATGATTTACCACACCTTGAAGGTATACAGAACATATATGAATTTTGAACTCTAAGAACGGCTTAATTTCAAACCCACTGATGTCAGGGGTCGGAAAACTTATTTTTTGATTTTAACGAAACTTACCCAAATACTGCACTGTTATTTGTGAATTGTGTTATTTGCTGAGTATCATCTATAATTTATTGTAGAGCAATATTTCAGTGTATGCTTATGCACATAATTGGGGCCTGTCTAGTGTCTTAGAAAGCTGACTCCTCCAAGATGATGCTAAAATAGTGTCTTTTAGAGAATCCATGCGAATCAGCGGGTTGCCTAGAGAGATAACATCCTAGCTATCATGTGCAAATCCGCGCTTCACCCAATATCATTGGCTGCCCCATTGTAAAATATTTAAGCATGTGGTCAACTCACGATTTTTCGCGTGGGAAAACTGTATAGCAGGCAGATATATAAAGACTGACCAATGAAGAAAAAGAAAGAGTCTGATACAATGTAAAATCGACGTTCAGAGAAAGCCGAAGGTCCATAAACACACTAGCCCACAGCGATTGATGTAATCTTCCGTATGAAAAATTGTGTTTGAATTAATAATATTCTCAGTTTTAATTTGTAATATACGGCGATGACGTTAGATAAGTATCGACCATTGACCAGCGCTCGTGGATTTCAAATATAAAGTAGGATGTCTCTTCCACTTGGAATATTAGCATAACTCACATTTTATTGTATATTACACTAAACTATCCATTATTTAGTAAGTCTTACTAATTAACCCATAACTGGGGAGAAACGATGTGGATTCATATCTTTCACAAAGTAAGTCCAACTAGAATTGGAACTCAACTGGCCGATAAACAATTCCGAAGCATTATCCATTACACCAGTCGCAAATTACAGCACCTGGTATTCCCTATCGGTCTAGGCACTGATCAGGATCAACGTTGCTTAACTTCGGTGATCACCTGTGTTTCAACGTGATTTGCCCATGAGTTCCACTTGCTTCTTTTCTGGATGTTAATTACTTTTTTCCAAAAACTTTCCACTTAATTCTTCCATTTTGTCCTTTCCTTATTTTTTCTTGCATATTAAATTATTATTAAAGTTGCCGATCTATCTAAATTTATGGTCTTGCATTTGTTTCACTTTCGATTCTTTCCTTCTTCCAGGTGTGTCTGTATCAGTTAGTTGCTTCACATTGGTGGCCATCTCATTGGAGAGGTACTTCGCCGTATGCCGTCCTCTACAATCGCGAACGTGGCAGACGTTGTCGCACGCCTACCTTACCATCGCCATCTGTTGGGTGTTGTCCGGCGTTGTTACCATTCCCATTGGCACGTACACCAAGCTGAAGTCATACCATTCGGTCAACAAATGTCGGGAGGTGTGGACGAGTGACATCGCTCTCAAAGTCTACACAATTTCCTTGAACCATATCCTCCTTCTCTTTCCTATGATTGTTATGTCCATTGCTTACGGACTTATCATGAAAATGCTTTGGAAGGGATTACAGATTGAAACTCAAATAGACAAAGGTAAGAAGTGACAGAGTTTTTTTTAACATTTTTCTCCTCTTCTTTCAATGTAAGCCTTTCAAAATCATCCGTCTAAGTTTAACGAGGATTGCTTTTCTTACTAACGAAAATAACTAATATAAACTGAGCATCTATGCTTGTAAAATCTATAATCAGTTCAACTGGTATTATTTCATAAATTCTTCAGAATTTACTGCCTTTCCGCTGGTGACGTTTCAGGACCTACACGGATGACGACTAATTTTCAGTACATTTATGCTATTTTCTTTTTATCGGTAAATGTTTCTCATGGGGCATCAATAAAACAATGAATATTTTCTTATTACAGTTGAATCGTTAAAGAGAAACCACTTTCTTTTTTTTAACACTTTATTTTCATATGTAATATTTTGCTGACGTAACTAAACCTCATTGAATAAAATCAGTTCGTGTGGCAAAAACAGTAACATGTTTGTAATTCCGAGTACAAATTGTTCGATTCAGTGCTTAATATTTACATGCACGAAACCGTTCCTACATTTCTTTACATTAATTGAAAGATTTTACACTAATGAAAGGCATTTCATAAACATTAGATATTCAAGACACTTGTTAACATTGATATTTTTTTATAAAACTACAGTTTAAGAGCAATCAGCTTATGGGAGTAATGATTTCGTTACATTTAAAGTAACAATATAAAGAAGAGTAATTTGGTTTGGAGAGAGTTTAAAACGATATGACAACGATATTATCTCAAGTCAAGACGTCAAATCTGAGCAAGAAATTTTGATGACCCATCTTAATTATTTACTGTAAGCCCTCATGTAAGGAAAATATCTATTCGTATAGATTCATGTTTCCCATAATAACTTAAACTCTTAGCTGCAGTCACAAGTGGTTCAGTCAAAAAAACCTAACTCATTTGTTACGAACAAGAGACACTTCACAAGCAGGAACTACAGCACCCAAAATCCAACATATGTAACATCTAGGTTAGTGTCCAATTACCATCAATAAGTAAAGTTCGTAATATACGATGGGAGATGGCATGAATTTCCAGGTAGGTTATTAGATAACGTTATATATTTTCAAATAAACTTTATGGGATTCGTAGTCTTTTTTAATGTTGTTTTATATAGCAACAACTAAACAATTCAATCTTCTACTTTCTACTCTCTTATAACTCTAATTCCAATATCGATGGATGAATTTAGGGCATTAAGAAAAGGCCAATGTACACGTGGGACGTCAAAATACCTGCCTCTCTTTTGACCAAACCAAAATTTAAAAACAATTAAAAAAGAATATGGTGCTACTATAGTATGATATCTACCGTCCATTTTCTACTGTAGTATGATATTTACCAACTGATGGAAGTATGAAATATGTTAGAATTAGAGTTAGGCTTAGGGGTTAGGCTTAGGGGTTAGGGTTAAAGGCAGTGAACAGGTTATATATTAAAAATCATTAACATTTTTTATACAAATATTAAAAATAACTAGTGTCTTAATGTTTATAAACTGATTTGATGTCATTAAAAAAAAGCAGAGTAAACAGGTCATCGTTTTGCCTGAGCATTTTCTAGAAATACTGAGTGCATTTTCTAGAAATACTGAGTGCATCATCGTTTACGGTAGGGTCGGAAATGCCTCAGTAGATATCATAATATAGTAGCAGTAAGAATATTGAGGAAAACGATTATTCATTTCTTGGCAGTGAGAATAATCAGTACAAAACTTAATTCAGAGTCTGTCTATATTTCTGAGATGAGGTATTATGTACATTATTTACATTATTCGGACTATTGTTCTCATCTTTGTCGCCATATTTATCACAACGTTTCGGCTGTTGTACGCTCCGGCCTTCTTCAGGTGATTGGAATGTCAAACTGAACCCTTTATTTCGCTCACCGGGGTAGACTGTTCTAGTTCCACGTGCCATGTTTGATGGATGTCAGTTATCTGTTAATTTCCCTCTGAAAGTTCTCCACTGCCTTAACCGGGTATTGAACTCACACTCTTTGGGTCCTGTCACTTGAGGACATCTGGGTATGGCGACAAATATGAGGACAATAGTCCGAATAATGTAAATAACAAAACTTAATTCAATTGTTAAAATTTATTGGAGAGTTTTAGGAATTTCAAGCGTAGAATATTTACGAGCTTTTTCAGTACAGAAAACCTCTCGATATTTAAAATCATCAGTTTCACTCGCATCAAAGGACTCATAAAAAGTTGATTTACTATTCAAAGTGGAACGTGTCGGCTGTAGAATTTCAAAGTGTGTCTCATTGCAGTTAATTCAGGTTTAGAATTAATTAGGAAATTATGAACGATACAAGGGGTTCTGAATGTTTAATCAGGTTACATCATATTAAATTGAGGACATTAGATAAGCATCAAAGTGGGTGGCTATTTGAACTGGATAGATTTTTCGTAACTTGGATACTGCAATCCCTGAGGAAAAAAACACCGAAATCGATATATATATATATATATATACGTCTTTGATTTCTCTAGATTGTACTATTATGTAACTAGACACCATGTTATCTGATGGAAAATGATGCTTGTACGTTATTAGGACAGAATTGGACAAGCAGGCGTATTGGATAGGTAATTATTCCAAAATGAAAAACGCTTTATTCTGTCAGAAACAAATAAATAATTAACCTGCACATTATCAAGTTAATATAAGTCATATACTCAATAATAAGAGTTTTTGACTGAATATTCGTGAAAACTTTCTTACTGAGCGAAATATCTGATAAGCGTAGATGCATAGATTAGCTTTCTTCATTTTGAATCGCACAATAATCGTACTTGGGTCATTTCTGGAGTTAACAAAAGTAATTGTTGCAGTAAATCAACTCTGTTACAAAACAATATTGACGAATCACCTTGTGAGAAATAGCTTATACAACGAGCACGCTAACTACTGCTCTGTAGGAAATAATACCGTACGCAGGATGTCCTTTCGGACAAACGAACAGACACACTCTGACTAAGAATAGACACGAATTTAAAAAATGTAGAGACTCTAATAGCAACATCTCTGTCTTTAAAGTATAATAGTTACTCACAAATCAGCAACACACGTATATATATATATATATATATATATATATATATATATATATATATACGTATCCAGATATACACTCCTACTAAATACTAACAATTCCTGTGAAGTACGACTTCACGCGCATACATACAAGTAATATAATATCCCTCCACACACACACACACATATATATATATATATATATATATATATATATATATATATATATATACTGCATGTGCATCAAAAGTCATATGCTCACAGGTTAACGATTTATAAGATACACGATCACCCACGTGCAAAATAGGCACAAACCTAAACTATATTCTCCAACTCAGTCTCACTTTATTTCGTTCACGCTTCTATTCAGGTGAGACATTACACCACCAACGACCACTTTATCAACATGAACCTTTTGGGTATATTTTGACATTGATTGACATGATTGATTGATTTGTTATTGATCTCTGCTTATCCGATAGTTATTTCAGAATTGTGAACGTTTACGTCTATGCGCTGATTGGCTTAATGTCATCTGATGAACAATGACGTCATCAGATCGTTACACAAGGAAATTTGAACACGCTGCAAAATCGGGGGATCGTCTGGATTCATAAAATGAAATATCCTTCCTCATTGATTCACTGACATTCGCTTTTTTTTGTTGTTTCTTTGGCTATCTTTTTTTGCTTGTTTGTTTTTTGTTTTTCTGTTGCTAGTGTTCTTCTCTCTCTTATTTCCTACCAACTCCACCACTTTCTCCTCCTTTTCTTCTTCTTCCAAATATTAGCATTCATCAATTCGTTAGTTCTTTTCTTGAAAATCATATTTACCGTCTTTTTTCTGTATTTACTTTCTCCATTAAAAATATTTTGCTTCATCATTACTATTATCAAGATAATTATTATCATCATTAACAATAATTAACACCTTTTTTCATTACCATCTAATTATTATTATGATTGTTGTTGGTGAACTATTTTACAAGTAGTAGCACTGTTAACGATTATAGTTAGAAGTTTACTTTTACGCCATGTCAGGACTTAGGTGGTCATGGTTCTCCACACATTCATTTCTTTAAGATATGTGGCTTCTTGGAAAATATAGTGGAGTGGCGCCTTCTTCAAGATTTTCAATTCAAAGGTTTTCGCCTAGACCGGCTTCCAGCTAGGGCTAAATAGTCTAATCTACTTTAATATTTAATCCATTGTTGATGATGAAAAGGGATGGGTTCATCCCTTCCCTTATGAAGTAAACGTAACAGAAACAATTCCAATTTCCATGCTAACAGATATGCTACCTACACATCTTTTGTTTGTAACTACGAGCGTGAAAGGGCAAAGATTAGAATATTCATGCAAATAATAATAATATACATAAAATTTGTCTTAAAGAATAAAAACGTGAAATTCTAATCTTTTAAACAGATCAACCTTGTAGAGCGGATTTAGTTATCGAAAAGCTGTATAAATATCGTTATATTGTATGACAGAGCTTACCAACCTGGATGACATCACCCACCTGTGGGCGATTTTAACTGTTGGGTGGGTGATGAGCAACTGAACAGAAAATGGTGGGTTATTGGAAACTATGGTGGGTAGTTGGAAACTTTCGTGAGTAATACAGATTTTTGAATATTTAAAACGTATTTCAACAAATGCCACCCGAAAAAATAGTCCAAGGAGATATGAAAAGAACCTTTATAAAAAGGAGGTTAAATTAGAGTAACCGGGCCAGTTCCTAGATAGGACATAAATATACCCGAAACAAGGAATATTCTGATATTTTCTCTAGATTTGAGAAAGGTCATTAATATTCAAATCGTTCTTCAGTATTAGATATGATAAAAAATATTCGCTGAATTTTTATTAATTGCTAGTAATGTATATTCTTTTTAATTTTATAATTATGAATAAAAATTGTTTACTTTTTGTCAACACTTGCAACGCTAACCCACCTTGACCATAATACCAAATATAGTTTTTAATGGAAAGGTTTGCTTTTCGTTTGGCCTTTATTATGATAACAGCAGCCACTTAAGTCAGCGTTATTTGTAATCCACTTTTAGTATTTTTAACTTCATCATAAAAATAATTTATGAACCATTAACAAACTGTTATCAAATAATTTTAGTATGCATTTGAATATTTACTCGATGGAAATGTTTTCCATGTAAAAGTGGGCGATGACGTCAAGATGGTTGGGAACCCTTGTTGTAAGAGATTTGAAAAAGTTGTAGAACAGGAAGGATGATAGTTGTTCTGGGGAGGAGGCTGTTGATTATCCTAAAGAGCTTAGCAAATCAACTGGAAGATTTGGAAATCCAAAGAAGTATCATAACAATGTAGACGACAGTATTACAGAAAAACTGAATAGGAAAAAGAGAACTGCGGTATTGAGGAGATTTTTTGTCACCAGTTACGACACACGAAAAAAAAAAAACATTAATGAGGTCAGATATAATAATAAATAGCGGAAGTTATCAATTAATATACCTTATACAAACCAATTTATTATTATTTTTATCTATGGATATTATCCGCGCGACCACTGTGGAGTAATAGATGTGTATATATATATATATATATATATATATATATATATATATATATATATATATATATATATATATATATATGTGTGTGTGTGTGTGTGTGTGTGTGTGTGTGTGTGTGTGTGTGTGTGTGTGTGTGTGTTTTAAGCAGCATATTTTATTTCAAACATGTTTGTTTAGATAATTTAGACGTATTATGTCTACTTATTTTAGTTTTAATAGTTTTAAGTCCACAAATTAATTTCTTGGTGGCTGTAAAAAATTTCCAAAATTTTCTTTCAAATAATTTTTATTTTCCAAAGTACTTTGAATCTCATCTGAGACCATCTTCAGAGGTTGCATATCTATGGATGTGCTATGCGTTAACACCGTAAGTTCAAAATAGTTTTTACCGCTATGCAAGGGAGGTGACTTATGTCATTTTTGAATGATTTATTAAAATTCTTTAAAGATTTTTTAATTCTTGTATTTTTAATTTAGTACTGAGCAGTGATGTCTTTTCGACTAAAATCTGTCTAGACTGTGAAATTGGACATGTTCTGAGATTGAATTATGGTCGTTCATGTGAAAGGTATGCCTTCTCGTCATCGTCTTTTTTGCAAAACCAACATACGTATTAACATCTTTATCAGAGATACAATCTCCCAAAGGACATTTAAATTGATATACGATGTTGGTCTTTTGTAAGACGCTAGTTGATGGAGAATAGTTTATTATGGATGACTATGTTGGTTGTATTAAATTTATTATAGTATATAATTAATTTTATGTTTTTACTTCGATCAATGGGGTATATATTAATGTTTATGAGTCTTTTTAGATTTTTTTCCTTCTGCTTATAGTCAGAATGCATTTGATTACTGTATAGTTGTTTGATATGTTTAGAGTTGAAGACGTAGTATATTCATTTTTTTATGTTATTATTCCCAATAGCTCGTCTAATTTTTTCATCAACGATGTACTTATGAAAGTCATTATTAATGATATTTTGTTTAATATTTCTAAATTCAGAATAAAAAATCTTTCTTGTTGAAGAGTTTGCTTTTGCACGGTTTATTAAGTTATAGTAGCTATTTTGTAATAGAATATTCACTTTAATAATGTGCACATGTTTTTGTTAATTGATTTTTATATGAGGAGGTAGTAAATGTATTATTATTAGTAGTATTATTATTAGTGTCTATCGATACATTAAGAAACGGGATTTTATTTTGTAGTTGTTAAGTTCATATGTGAAATCAAGTACGGATTTTTTAGTATAGCAACAAAGTGTTACATAAAAAAAACTAAAAATACGACAATTAAATAATAAAAAATGAATATTTTTTTTTTAAATCACATACGTTACTTCCCTTGCATAGAAGTAAAAAAAAATGATTTGAATTTACGGGGTTTAGCGAATAACACATCCATGAAGATGGTCTGAAAAAACAAACAAACAATACACAAGAATAGAGGCAGGTCTGACGAGATACAAGAGGAGATAAAAAGATATGAGCAAAAACCTCATCCATTCCCCTTTTCTCTGACCAATAGTTATTGTTTTGTTACAACTTAAGCAAAGGAACATTCTGCCGCCAGTCCACATACAAAAGACAATGGTTAAAATACACAACATGAGAAAAACTTAATTACTTTAAATAATATGTAGAAATAACCATTCTTCTCCTGATGAAGGTCACAAGACCTGAAAATCGTGTAGCAAAAAAAATATAGAAAATAAAAGTATAATATAGAAAAAAAATCGTCCTTATAACCAAAACCTTTGCGGCGGCTTCTCTATTTAATATTTAATATATATATATATATATATATATATATATATATATATATATATATATATATATACAATAAATATAGAAAACTAGACTCGTTTTTGAAAAACCCTCGAATTTTTGATTTGCTAATCAAATCAATCTCGAGGGAAAAAAAGGTTTTAAAAAAAAAAGAGCAACAAACATGAACTTCTGCCGACAAAAAAATCGCACAGATGCAGGTCTGAAGCCCAAAGAAAAAACCCGATACGAGTAACAACTAACTAACAAAAGAGCTCAATACAACCGTAGAGTAGACCTAGATACACCTAGTGAGCTAGACAAACCTACCTAGGTTTTCACCTAAACGGATCGTCAGGGAAAGTTTGGCCAAACTTTCCCTGACGATCCGTTTAAATGAAACCTAGGTAGGTTTGTCTGGCTCACTAGGTGTATATATATATATATATATATATATATATATAAAATATTATAGTTCAAAAGTGTGAAGCCACCCGCCAGAATTAGCATGGGATGAAATGAAAACAGCTCTTAAAGTCATTGAAAAAGAATGGAATCTGTTATCAAAGTTATACTTTAAGAAAAAACTTTTGCTGCAGTAATCGAGGCTAAAGCTACATATTTTGACGAGAGCGAAATTTACTCATAAAATCTTTTTTTTTTTCTCATATTAAAACTTCTAATAAAAAATACCGTCTCACTTTTTAACCATTTATAATATAATTCTGTTATTTACAGTACAAAACAACTAAATTTTAGTCCAATTTAAAAAATTACCACGGGTTTCTTTAATCTTTTGAACTGCAGTTTATATGTAAATTGAACACTAAGGTCAACACCGAGCGGCGACAGTTCGTTTCATCGGTCTATGTCTACATATGCATCTACATATGCTCTTTCCATGATATTGAGCACTTTTGCCCATAACTATAGCATATATATATATGTGTGTGTGTATTTTTGAGATGAGGTATTATGTACACTATTTACATTATTCGGAGTATTGTCCTCATCTTTGTCACCATATTTATTACAACATTTCGGCCGTTGTACGCTCCGGCCTTCTTCAGGTTTATAATACCGAGAAATTAATACACAGATGTCCTCAAGGATATATGGCACAGTGGTTAAATGCGTTAGTTAGATCCAGTAACAGGACCCAATTCAATACCTGGTTAAGGCGGTGGAGAACTTGGAGAGGAGAATTGACAGGAGATAACTGATAACTGACATCCATTAAACATGGCACGTGGAACTAGAACAGTCTACCCCGAGCGAAATAAAGGGTTCAGTTCGACATTCCAACCACCTGAAGAAGGCTGGAGCGTACAACAGCCGAAACGTTGTAATAAATATGGCGACAAAGATGAGAACAATAGTCCGAATAATGTATATATATATATATATATATATATATATATATATATATCATCATCATCATCATCAGTAGTATTAGTAGTAGTAAATGTATAAATATGTATGTTTTTTTCTGATCACATTTATTATAGTCTAATAT